TTTTTTATCAAGAAGCTTACACTCTATTGGGGGAAACAACAGGTAAATACATATGCATACTGTACATCAAATCTGTATAAAATGAATTCAAGATAACTTTGGGAAGTCAAGAACTAGCAACTGGAAGCGCTCGGAAACGTTTCTTATAGAAGATGGAGCTTGAGTTGAATCTTAAAAGAATTGAAGACTTCCAAGAAGTGCATATATCCAAAATATCCAAAATACTGAAGGAGTGCATTCTAGGCATGGGAGACAGCCAGTGCAATGGAAATAGAAGTTAGGTGAGGAAGAGCAAGATCAGTATACACGGATCATAGATTATGTGGAAGAGGTAATACATAAGAAGACCAGATAGCATAGAAAGGGATAAGAGATTTATGAAGAGATCTAAAAACCAAACAGAAGAGTTTATGTTGATCCTAGAGGTATTAGGGGAAAACTATAGCTTATTCAATAAAGGGGAAGGGTGACATAGTCAGACTTCCTACAACATCCATCATTTCTATTTATTTTTACTGTTTTTGCCAAATTTTATAATATGACTTCATATCATATCTTGGTTACTGCAGTTGAAATTTCTCTTATTATAAATGATTTGAAACTTTTTTGTTGATAGATTATATTTTTCTTATGAAAACTGACATAATATTTGGCCACAAACTTGGAATTATACAATTGTTAGAGATAATTGATGTAAATACATATGCACATATTTACCAGTAGCTAGTTTCTCTTTTTATTCCAGAAGCATTTATTTTCTTTGTGCCGATACATTTTGTTTATATAATTGTAAAATTTCCATCTTTTGTAATGCTCTATAGCTTGTATCTAGTTATAAATTCTCCTCCAATGATAACTATTAAATGCATCTCCTTCTAATAGCCCCTATTTTTTATGTGCCCTTTAATATTAAGATTGTTTACCTTTTTGGAGTTTATTGTGATAGATTGGATAAGTACTGGTCTAAACATATTTTCTACTAAAACTCTTTCCAGTTTTCCCAGAAAATTTTTCTTCAATAGGGAAATACTTCCCCTAGGAAAATGTTCTTTGGTTTCATTAGTATTGAGCACTTCTAGTTGAAGCAGAAAGCTAGATACTTCAGGTTCCTTTCCCTAACATGAAGGAGTTGAGGCCAAACTCTGAAGGAATGGGGTTAGTTAATGGCAGCTATTCTTATCCCCTTTGCAGGGGAAAAGAACAAAGGAAGAGATCTTACCAATCCTCAATCTCAGTTCAAGGCAGTCTTTTCTTTCAGGAGTCATTTTGGTCTGATAAGCGCAACAAACAGCCCTATTGCCTGTAGCAACAATAGGGGTAACACCTCATACAGTCACTTAGGAGAAGATAGTTGGGGAAGAAAATGCTAGGACCTTACGGTGCCCATCCATTCATTCCAAAGATGGAAAACAAACTCTGAACTCTCACTGAAAACCCAGCTCCACTCTTTCCTACATCTTTCTCTTAGAAATTTCTGCAAAGCAGTCCCAAAAACCATCACAAAGAGCCTTTCTCAGAAATCTCAATTCCCAAATTCAGTAGTTAGTGGATTTAGGAGGCATATCTCCATAGCAACATAGGTTACAATTAGAAAGTGTTCTCTCTCATTGAAATCCTTCAAGGTCTAATTCAGATTATACTTTCTCAATAAAGTCTTGCCCTTCTGTTTACCTCCATTTCCCAGTACCCTCGGTCCTCAAATTTTCTTGTAGTACCATATCCCTATCATATTCTACCTTGTATCATAATTATTTGGGTAAACATTATATCCTTCTATTAGACTGTAATCTCCTTAAGGGCTAGGACTAAAATGGTTTTCTGTTCTTAGGGACTAATAGAATAGACTAGAATAGAATGAGTAGAATAGAATGGGATAAAATAGAATTGATTAATTTTTTCCTGATTAATTTGACTAGTTAATTCAGTCAAGTTGCTTGTGTAAGCAAAAGATAAAAATATGTGTGACAAAGTATGTTTTATTTTCTTCTTCCTCCCACATACAATATGTGTCACATATTGGTTGCCTATTATAGTTAGCTTTAGAATGTGGATTTATTTGAGTTGTTTGTTTGTTTTCTGGTTTGCTTTGCCATGATTTTCTTAGTTTAGTCAACCTGGGTTGTTTGACTCCAATCTTATACCTCTTTGGAATCTAGGACAGTTTATGTCTACTGGCCAGCTATCTATATTAGTAGCAGCAGTACTAGTGTAGTGTAAATTAGAGGATTACTAATGGTTTTGAAATTCATGTAAAACTCAATCCCTTGTCCAGGTCTTCTAGCAAGTAGGACCTTTACAGATTTGAAATATAAAAATACTTTGCTTTTCTGTAGTTCATTTAGCCTGGAGAAGGAAATAACGACCCACTCTAGTATCTTTGCCAAGAAAACCCCAAATGGGGTCACAAAGAGTTGAACACACTGAAAATGACTGAACAACAACAAGTTCATTTAGTCACCCAAAGTATGAACAGCCAAGAATGACAAAGAGTGAAAAATGTCCTCTGGGTAGTTAAAAGAAACATCACAAAGTCCATGTATGAAATCTCACGTAAGAGAGCTCAGAGAAAGTGGATCACTCCAGTCTTTACTTGGTTTAAGTAAACTCTTAGTTCAGACATAGTTCTAAGAGCTTGTTTACCTGGAGATAGATAAACCCTAAGAAGCAGATACAAAAACTCAAAAAGCACAGCATTCTGGGGACATTGTGGAGAGTCAAACAGCTCCACTTACCACAGGAGCCTGTAAGTGAATCTTTTTATCACTGCAGCGTCTGAGTGCCCTATCTGGGAACAAGCAAGCTTTTGCAACTGATATTCAACAATGGACCACATATTTATACTCTTATAATTAACTGGAAAATATAATGGATATAAGATCCCATTGTGCTTATTGTTTGTTGATTACAAAAAAAGCATTTGAGAACAGCAAGGCATCCATACATTGAGATTACCTTCGAAGATGTCATAACAGAAGTAACTCTGTCCACTGATTCTTTGACAATAAATATCAGGTTAGGCATAAACCCAGGGTGATGTATGATTGCCAAAGGAATTTGTCATTGTGCTGGAAGAGATCCAGATCAGAAATATGTTGAGGAGGGTTTCCTGGGAGATGAGATAAAGTGGGGTCCTTTGGATATTTGCTTCCTGATGACATCAAGCCCCAGAACATTACAGAATCTCCTGGAATAGATCTGTAATTACTCAAAGGAGTTTAACCTGTCCATCCATGCAAGAAAGACCGAGAGATGAAGAATGTCTATTGTCTAGATTCCAAAACGCAGACTGGATTGCTTTTGGAAATTGCAAAGGTCTTTTGCTGACCACAAGTTTTCTGTGAAAGCAAAGGTCCATATTTTCAATAGTAACATTTTACTGGTGTTGCTTTATGACAATGAGTCATAAAACACCACTGTCTCCAAAGAAGCATAGAAAGTAAAGGCATATGGCAAGTGTAAGCAAGCTACAACAACAACAACAACAACAGCAACAACAATCAGCACTTGTATAGCACCTTAAGATTTGCAAAGTATCTTACACATTATCTCATTTTATTCTCACAAAGACCCTGGGAAGTAAGTGCTATTATTATCTCCATTTTACAGATGAGGAAACTGAGGCAAACAGGAGTTAAGTGACTTGCCCAGGGTCAACAGCTAGTGAATGTTTGAGGCTGGATTTGAATTCAGATCTTCCTGATTCCAGAGTGAGCACTCTATCCACTGTGTCATCTAGCTGCCTTATAGTAATTTTGAAGAACAGGAGTAAAGGAATCAAGGAATTGTATGACAGGAAAAGCAGATGGCTAATCATATGGCAAGAGTAAGATATGCCAAATAAACAGACACAGTGCCCCATTGGTGCCCTTGAAATGTCAAAGGAAAGCCAGAAACTCTTCTAGTATGTTGGGCAGACCCTCGGTCACATATTGTTGGGAGTCTCATAAGATGAAGATGGTCAGGCATAGGGCTGTGATCTACACTGCTGTAGGGATCAAGAATCATAGAAGATCATAGATCTAGTTGAACATTTGAGTATATAATGATTAATGAGCTTAGTAATGACTCTGAGTCACCCAAAAAGTTAAGTTCTGAGGGGTTCATCAGTAACAGTTTGGGCTTTGGGTTGTGAATATATTTAGTCATGGCAATTTATGAAATTGTCTACCACAGTATGAAAGGGTACAAATCTGTGTTGGTAGAAGTTTGACCCACATCTATGAAATAAAAGGCCTTTTGAAGCTTTAAAATATCCTTGAGGCAGGAAAGTATGGCATGCATTTTTAAAGATTCTGATTAAAAAAGAGTTTACCATGTTTTGTTACAATAAAAAACAGTTATTCAAAAAAATAAAAACAAAACATTTTTGTGCAACATAAAATATGATGATAGAAATTCATTAAGGAAGAAAAAACAAGTCACAGGAATACAGACACATTTCACTCAGTTCTCTTTCCTTTGAACTTGACCACTAAATCTCTCTTTGGTCAACCAAATAAGACATTTTCTTCCTTAAAAATTAAAGGATTGAATTCATTAGGCTGCCAAATAATTCACTGTATATCCCACTCCAAGTGTTATATTCTACATCTCTGCTAAATATATTTTCAACCAAAAAAGTGTTCTTCCTTTTTTTTTTTTGCATTTATTACTTAATCTTCACTGTTAATTATAGTGGCTAAACTTGGGTGATAGGTCAACGTCTTTCTGCGAGACCTTCAATTTATCAAGTATTGCATCTCTTTGATTGTTTTGGAACCTCTCCTGATACCTGTGGACTTAGTTCAAGGCCACTCCTGTAACTGTCCAGCTGATGATGCTTTTTTTTAGGTCCTGGTAGAACAAGTGGTAAATTGTTTGCTTTGGCCATTGAAGTTCAGGTTAATGAATCTGTGTTCTCCTATATATAAAAACTTATGCTGAGGTCTATGTTCAACATGTGCTTACTCATCTGAACACAGGTTTTCCAGCTGCTCAGAAGTTACCTCTAGGATTTCAAAATGTTAACAATTTCTTTGATCTGGGGCATTGCTGTGGCAATATGCTGTTGTTTATGGCTTATTATTGGAATAAGGAGGAGGTAAGCAGTGTCTTACTTTTACATTATATTTGAGTTCATTTCATCTGAGACTTGTCTGTACTTGATATCATATTGTGCTTAAGCACAGCAATGTTTTCTAGCTTTTGTTCATTTTTAAAGGCCTTTTTAGTAGTCTTTAAAAAGCCATAGATTTTCTCTGGGCAATCTTCACAGTCTTTGGAGTGGTCTTAATAAGGTGAGAATTCCATTTTAATAATAGATATATTCAGTGCAGGTGATGGAAAAATAAAGGATGTCAATAAAAATGAAAAATAATATGCACACATACATGGGTCATAAGAATATAAAATCAGCATGGTGTGATAGATAAAGGGCCAAAGTTGGAGTCAAGAAAATCTGGGTTCAAATCCTGTCTCTAACACATACTAGCTTTATGATGTGGGGACATGTTATTTATGCTCTTGGGCCTCAAGGAATTCTCTAAGATTACAAATTATAGATTAGCTGCTGATCTGAACTGGTGGAGGGGGTTTCCATAATGGTAGTAGTTCTCTACACTGATAAAATCACAGGTCTGTGTCATAGGCCCACATATATAGTCATATTTATATATACATAGATACATAGATACATATATATAGATATTTACATAGATATTAAATGCATTGGGTAGAACTTCATAGAATGTAAGTTTTTTTATTCCAGAGTTACTTTTGGTGATAAGAAGAAGGCAGCAATATGGTAGCAATTTGATTGGGATATGGTGCAAATGATGGAAGTCATTTTTGAAGAATCAGAAAGGAAAAGGGTTTTTTTCCCTCTATGGTCATAACCATGGGACTTGTGATTAATAAACATTCATCAAGTGACTATTATGTGCCAGGCACGGTACTAGGTGATAGAGATACAAACACTATCAATGAAAAAAACCACTAATCACAAGGAGCTTATATTCTGATGAGGGAGATAATAAGGACATAAATAAGCATATACAGAATAAATAGAGAACAAATGCAAAATAGTTCAATACAAGGTAGTTTGGGATGGAATGTACTAGCAATTGTACTAGCAATTGAGGGGATCAGGAAAGGGTTCTTACGGGATGTGGTGTTTGAGGTGCAGACTGAAGAAAGAGAGGGATTCTGTGGGGTGGAAGTGAGCAGAGAGTTCATGCCAGGTTCAGGGTGCAAAGGCATAGAGGTGGAGATGCAGCCTAGAGATGCAGCTGGAGCACAGAGATGGAGCTGGAGTGAGGACTAGAGAGAAGATCAGTTCCCAGAATACAGATAGGGGAGTGATATACCCTGGGACTTGATAGATTTGAACAAGGTCATGGAATTTTAAGAGCTGAATAGAGGTGTTTAGATTTGATTCTAGAGGTAATAGGAAGCCATTGGAATTGATTAAATAGGATTGTGACCTAATCAGATCTATATTCAAGGAAAATCACTTTGCCAGTTGTGTATAAGATGGACGTAAATGAGAAGAGACTTGAGGTAGAGTGACCTGTTAGAAGGCTATTACAATAATCTAAGCAAGAGATGATGAGAGCCTGAAATAAAGAAGTAACTGTGTGAATAGACAGAAGGGGTAAGATGCAAGACACATTGTGGAGGGAGAAACAGCAAGATTTGGCAACTGATTGGATTGTGAGATGAAGGAGAGGGAGGAGGAGAAGATGATGCTAAGATTATACATCTGGAAAACTGGAAGAGTGGTGGTACCTTTGACAGAAATAGGGAAGCTTGGAAGAAAGCTGGATTGGGGGGAAATGATAGTTCAACCTTATATATGTTGAGTGTGAGTTGTCTTCAGAACATCAAATTCAAAACGTCTAAGTCAATTGTAAGACAAGATTAAGGTCAGGGGAGAGGGTGGGGCTGGATATATAGATCTGGCAGTCATTAACACAGAGATAATAATTAAACCCATGAAAGCTGATGAGGTCACTCAGAGAGAATATATATGATACTTTAGGTCAAATAAATATTTCGATAAAAGAATAGTGCCTTATTTACATAAAATGTCTCCAAGCAGATCTTTGGGAAGTCTGTACTGAGTTTTATGGTCTGGAAAAAACCTATCTGGCCATGCTCAACTTCTCTGGTGTGTATTTTTCTATTGCAGGCGTATAGGAGAGCCACCTCTGGACAATGGGCTAATTCCATATGTAGGCTGTGCTCTGCAGTTTGGAGCCAATCCTCTCGAATTCCTCAGGACAAATAAAAGGAAATATGGTCATATTTTTACATGCAAACTAATGGGAAAATATGTGCATTTTATTACCAATCCTTTTTCATACAATACAGTAATGCGGCATGGAAAATATTTTGACTGGAAAAAATTTAACTTTGCTGTCTCTGCAAAGGTATCAGTTTTTTAAACTTTGTTTCAATTTAGCTTTCCATCACATTCTTTATGTATATCCAGTTGTATATCTCACTGTTATTCTATCCCTAATCCCTAAGGTCTTCTCTTAGGTCTCATCCTAACATTATGGGAACTCTGGGTTCTAAAAGGTTATATCAGCAAAGTAGCAGCTCTGGCAGGGGCCATCCAGCTAGAAAGTCTTTGAGAAGAGTCCTGGGAATACACTGAATTCCCATAATCTGAGGGTCAACCCAGTCAAATTTGGAAAAGCTTCTCATAAGTAGGCTACCTACCAGTGATAATTTAAAAAAGCTTTTTCTTAGCTGTAGTGGTTTACAAAGATGGCACAGTGGAAGACTTGGTTTCAAATTCCACTTCTGACATTGATTAGATTTATGACCATGTTCAAATCACTTAACTTCTCCCAATCTCAGTTTATTCATCTGTAAAATGAGGGCCAAGTAATACCTCTAGTATCTACCTACATTGACAGATTGTTGTGAAACTCAAATGTGATCAAGTATGTAAAGTGCTTTGAAAACTTTATTATAGAGCTTAAAATTCATTTATGAAGTGGTTGCCATCTAGTGGGTGTAAGGAATGTCCTCGTTGATGAAATCTTTGAATTACTAAACTACCATGTATTAAAATATTTCTAAAATCCCTCCTAGTCAATTCAATTTTTTTAAGCTTCAAAGGAGGAGTAATTGTGATCCTCCTTAACTGTATTGCTGATAATCTGATACTAATCCTATGATTTTGCCAATGTGGTTATTCTCTCTGCAGACACATACCTTAACCCTTCCAGACTTTCATGTACTGTATAATTTTTACTGATGTTTTCCCTGACTTACAAGGGCTTTTCTGTCATGCCAGTGTTTCAGGGTTGTTGGTTTTTTTGCCATGATAATATTGAGATGATGAATTACTCGATATCTTCCTAATTGTCATCCATAATCCACATTTCTGTAGTGCTTAAAGGCTTTATAAAACTCTTTTCCCATTTTATAAATGAGAAATCTGAAGTTCAGAGGGGTTGTCCCTCCATAGTCTCAGATTATAACAACAACAATAAGCCTTTAATGACATTTTAAAGTTTCTAAAGCACTTTATAAATATTAACTTCTTTGATACTCACCACAACTTTGGGAGGCCGATGCTATTTTCACCACCCTAATTTTACAGATGAAAAAACTGAAACAGAGAGTGGTTAAGTGATTTATCCAGGGACCGCGCAGTTAGTAAATGTTTGATATCAGATTTTAATTCAGTTTTTACTGACTCCAGAACCGGTGCTGATCCACCACATTGACTAGCTTCCTCAGAGTCTAAATTTCAACCCAGGTCTTTTGGCTCTGGGTCTAATACCCTTTCTACAACACCATGCTGCTTATAAATAATGGGTCAGGCCTTACGTAGTCAGAAAGTAAATTGAAGGTAAATTGCCTTACACACAAAAAAAAGAAAAAAATCATTCTTTTTTTTTATTTCCATGATGCCTGATTGTTATTTAAAAAAAAAAAAAACAAAAACCCTTGAATACAAGTTTATTGAGTGTCTGCTAAGTATATGGCACTTAGTTGGGGTGGGAGATATAAAGAAGCAATCCTGCCTTCAAGGAGCTTAAAATCTAGTTGAAGATAAAAGACATATACACATAAGAGAATAACTAACAATAGAAGACATTGTAGGCTAAGTTCCAAATGTTTTTAAGTCTTACTTAGAGAAGGCAAAGCTGCAAATAAATTGAACAAGCATCTAAAAAGCATTGTCTAATGTTGCTGGCACTGTCCTTAGTGCTGAGAATACATAGGTAAAATAAAACTGACTCAACCCTCTTACATTCTACTGGGAGAAATACAGATAAATAAATGCAAAATATAACAGCAAATTCAAAGCAATTGGCAAGATTAAGAAAGAAACTAATAACAGTAACTAAGAATAATAAGTAGAGAAGCATAGGGATGGTATCCAAGGGAACAGGAAATCATGGGCAACAAGGACACCAGCATAAAGCATGTCTAAGAAGCAGAAGGTAGAGCAGTATAACTGTAGTAGACTGTGTTGCACAAAGTAAAAGAATTAAAGTTGTAAAGGTAATGCCTTTTGAATTGTAATTTATTAAATTCTTTAATTAATATTAATAATAATTAACTAAATTAAAATCAGAATTTACAGATTCTGTGACCTATACAAAATATATGCCTTGCACGTTCAGGGAATAATTTACTTTCATAAAAGAATCAATTTGACTATAGAGTATTTGGGGATTCTTGATTTAAAGACTTCCCTTCAAGATATTGTAACCTAGGAAACTTTATGCTTTTCATGCTTGGTGTGCAAAATACCCGCGGCTATGATTTTTGTTTTAATTTATTCACTGGTATTATGTTAGGCTTTCATTTTCTCACACATATTTGTTTGATCACAGGCATTTGGCCACAGAAGCATTGATCCCAGTGATGGAAATACTACTGAAAATGTACATGAGACTTTCACTAAAACCTTGCAGGGGGATGCCTTGAATTCCCTCACTGAAGCCATGATGGAAAATCTACAGTATGTCCTGAGGCCACCAGTTCTTTCCAAAACAAATTCTGATAGCTGGGTAACAGAAGGCATGTATTCCTTCTGCTACAGAGTGATGTTTGAGGCTGGTTATTTGACTCTCTTTGGCAAAGATCTTACAAGGCAAGAAGCACAGAGAACATTCATCCTAAATAACCTTAATAACTTCAAGCAATTTGACAAGATCTTCCCAGCCTTGGTAGCAGGGATTCCAATTCACATGTTTAAAAATGCTCACAATGCAAGGGAGAAATTGGCTGAAGCTCTGAAGCATGAAAATCTACAGAAGAGAGATAATATCTCAGAACTGATCACTACTCGTATGTTCCTGAATGACACCCTCTCAACTTTTGATGACAAGGAGAAGGCGAAAACTCACCTGGCTTTACTTTGGGCAGCTCAAGCTAATACACTCCCTGCCACTTTCTGGTGCTTATTTCACACAATTAGGTACAATAACATCATTGGTGCAAAAAGAAGGAAACTGATCTTTTCAGTAGCTAGCCTTGTACTTAGAGTTCTTGTCATGTCTCAGTCAGGGACTGAGAGCCATAAACTAAATAGGAGTGCCTACTTAAGTCCATGATGCATTCTATAGCAGCAGCCAAAAGTATTAATTGACTGTTTAAGACAGGTGCTGGGGTCATGTTTCATTTTTGTAGCCTTTCACTTTTTTCCCCTTCAAATATCTACTGCGATCTTACCATTCATTCTGATAATTATCATAACTCATCATCCTTCAGTCAGTCCTGTAGAAGCTAAACTTTCCCCTTTATACATTTAAATATATGTACATATATGTATATACACATGTATCCCCTTACGTATTTATTATATTATACATTATTCCTTTATATGTTTATATATGACATATTTATATTTAAAATATATTAATCATATATTTTTACATATATAATTGTTTACTGGCCAAGGAAATTGGCAGAGTCTCCCTAAACAATTCTATGAAAATATTCCATGTTCATGTCAGAGAGAAGAACTGACTTTACGGTAAAATCATGGAATGAATATTGTATAATTAATACAAGTAACAACTTACATTCATGTGGCACCTTGAAATTCACAAAGTGCTTTCCTGACAACAGACTTTATATTGATTGTCTCCATATTAGGACACAGAAAATGGGCTCCAAGAAATTAAGTGGCTTGCTCCAGGGTCCATAGCTACTGGGTGCCACAGTGAAGCTTTCATCCAGCTCTCCTGACTCCAAATCCATTATTCTTTGCTCTTGACCACTCTGCAGTTAATTACAATCATAAAACCAACATGTAGGCAACATTCTTCAGCCAAATATTTCCCACCAACTAACTTCTATTTTATAGCACACATCTCTTGACATGGCACTCATGCATAAAATGTAGCCACATGAGAACTTTTTTGTGTTAGTCACCATTTGGCAATTCAGAATGCTGCATAATAATTTTGTGACATAGCAAAAAGTTTCCTATTCTGGATGAAATCTTAGAATCATAGATTTTGAGAGGCAGTGAGGCATCGTGGATTTAGTTCTAGATATGGAGCTCTAAGACCTGTGTTTAAATCCTCCCTTTAACACTTCATAGGCAAATCATTAATGTTCCTAATCCTCTGTTTCCTCATCTTTAAAAAAACAACAACAACAACAACAACAACGACAAACTGCAGTACCTAGTTCAGGATTGTTGTGAGGGTCAACTGAGATAATGTGTATAAAGTGTGTTACAAATCTTAAAATGTTATATGGATATCTGTTATTTTACTCATAGACTTCTACAAAGGAGAAAAAAAAACTTAAAGATTTCAAGATCATCTAGCCTAGTTTCTTTCATGTTAAAAAGATGAAAATAAGGATTTAAAAAATGAATGCTTTTTTCTATTTGAAGTTTGACCAGGATGATACAGCACATAAAGAATGATATTCTTACAGGTTTTTTTAAAATCTTAAGTGAGACCTTTTCCTAAACTATTTAGCTTTCCCGCCCCCTTATGAGAGACAATACTTTACAATGACGATACTACATTACATATTTACTACAAGCATATCTAGTCACAAATTTACTTCTAGTCAATGAAAACTAAATTGGAATACTACATATTTTCCCAAGATTCACTTAGTTTTGACCAAATATTTAAGAGTAGGCAAAAAAAAACCCAATTTAAATCTACAAAACAATTTGGTATGATGAAAAATAACATTCTACGCATCTTTTCTTTTGGCTTTTAATAGGAGTCCAGAAGCAATGAAGACAGCTACAGAAGAAGTCAGAAAAGCTTTAGAAAATTCTGGCCAAAAAATTAGCTTTGAAGGCAAACCTATAAGCCTGACTCAAATGCAACTAAATGACATGCCAGTGCTAGGTATGCTGACTGCTTGCGCTGCCACAGAACACTTTCCCAGTTTCATTTTCTATCTTATTCAGCTCAGTGATCTGGACAATAACAAAAATTCTTCAAAGGACAAGTCTTTTGACTTTCAACCAAAAGCAATCAAAAGGCAACAAACAGATGAAATGAGAGCAAGGAATTGTCTGTCAGACCTTACTTTTTCCACTTAATCTAGGACAACCTTTACCTTTTTATTACCCATTTCTTCTTGCTTCTTTTATTTCTTTCTTTAGGCAGAAAGAATTCATATATGACTCCAAAAATTCATTGGTAAAACCAGAAACATATCAGAGGTCCAAGCTTTAGTTAACATATGCCAAAATATCCATCTGTATAAAAATGGAAACGTTCAGTTTGTTTTGTTTATCCAGTGCCAAACATATGGATGTTTATAAACATTCACAAATGATTAGCTGAACTTAAAATTTTTTTTATCCAGATGTTTGGTATAATGTACATGTAGCCACGCAGTATTATTCCATAGGATTATGAAGTCCAAATTCCTATTGACTATTTGGAATTTTGTCTTTAAAGATCAAAAGATCACATTGGACCTTGACTTTCAGATTCAAAAATCCATCCAAATGATGTTGTACAATAATCAGTAACAGAGCAACAACAAAGAGGAGTCAGAAAAGTCTGAGGAAAAGCTTATCTGACTATCTTGTCATATTCTGTTTTTTAGCTCCAATCTTTTAAGTTCATCTGCTTTTTATTTTGTCTAAGTTTTGTTATGAACTTGCAGATGATGGGACCTAAATAAATATTTTATAAGGCTGTAGAAGTATAGTTGGAAAGGACTTTAAAGGTTATCTAGTCCAATTCCCTCCTTTTATAGATGAGTAAACTGAGGCCCAGGGAAATTGAGTGACTTGTCTATAGCTGCATAAATATTAAGTGTCAAATCAACCAAATAATCTTTCTCCAAAACCAGCACTATTGTCACTATAAAACATTTGAATTGAATTGTTTATTATATGAGATGATTATACCTTGTAAGTTCTTTAAAGACTTGGTTTTTTCTTCATTATGCAGATAGTATAATCAAGGAGGCTTTACGACTTTCTAGTGCATCCTTGAACATCCGAGCTGCTAAAGAGGATTTCACTTTGCACTTAGAGGAGGGATCCTATAATATCCGAAAGGATGATATAGTAGCTCTTTATCCCCAGCTGCTGCACTTAGATCCAGAAATCTACCCCGACCCCTTGGTAAGTAATTTTTCATCAAAGCCACTATCAAAACTGGACACTTGGCCAAAGTAAATCGAGAATATACCATTGCATAGGTGTTTCTTCAGGATATTTGGTTTGTGTGATGATAAAAGTTTGGATGTGTGGAAACATCTGGATGATTTTTTTTTTGGATTTTCTTCCTGACATTTAGCATTCTGCAAATAAATATAACTCCATCATAGGCACAGTATTGGTGATAAGGTTGACACTAGTTTGCTTTCTTCTTAAAACAGTTCAAAATGGGAAACACCAATCTTGTATTTTTCTTCTCATCCAGATTCCCAAAATCCAGGAAACTGTGCCTGCTATAATAGCATCATTTTGTTTCTGGTCATGATTTCTAACTTTGAATTCAGTCCAACTCAGAAAGCCAGTCTTCTAGGAAAGGACAAGAGAGGGACTAAAAAGTCTTCATTACTTAATCTTTTCTCATACGTCCCTTGTCCTTGGATAAGTTCGACTCCATTATAAAATCCTTAAGTAACTAAATTACTATTGTGAAATAAGAGATAAACAGAATTCCCAACTTTAAAATTCAGGTCAACAAAGTGTCATTAAAGATAATCTAAAGTTATTTCAAACTAGTTCTTGAGGTATTTTTTCTCTATTGTGATTGCAGGTTTTCAAATATGACCGTTTCCTCAATGAAAATGGAAAACCAAAGACCAGCTTCTATTGTAATGGCATCAAGTTAAAATATTACTATATGCCTTTTGGATCAGGACTGACATTGTGTCCTGGAAGATTGTTTGCTGTCCATGAAATGAAGCAATTTTTAATTCTGATGTTTTCGTACTTTGAAATGCAGCTTATTGATAGTCAAGTTAAATGCCCTCCTCTAGACCAGTCTCGTGTGGGTTTGGGCATTTTACCACCAACAAATGATATTGATTTCAAATACAAACTAAAACACTGATGATTGTATTACTGATAGAAGAAGGGAGCACTGGGTAATCTTACATGTCCAAAGAAAGCCACTGCCCCCAACAAGCCTGATGGCAGGCAGAATGAACAATGCTAGGTTACAGTAGGAAGAGCACAGGCTTTGGAGCTGGATCTGTATTTGAGCCTCAGTTCTGCTTTTTACTACTTGTTTGACCATTAGCAAGTTGATTAATCACTATAGGACTCAATTTCCTCATTTGCAAAATGGGGAAGGGATATTGCACTAAATGATTTCAAAGTTCCCTTCTCACTTTAGATTTGTGCCACAAGGTGGCCTCAAGGGTTTCACTAGTTCTGTTTTTATTTACTAGTACTTGCTAATAAAGTATGACATCTTAGGAATAATTTTAGATACCATATAAAATTGTGCTTCTGCAAAGAATAGTTTAAAATTATTCTTTGTTTAAATTAACGTTATCAACTTTCTTTCAGCTAAAGCCTACATTTTATTCTAGGGAGAAGGGGCAGGGAATTGGTACTTTTTCAGGAGGGAAGGGTTGCAGTTAGTTGAGAATTTTTTTTTTCCTAAGGAAACTCCTTTTTATTTTTACAAAAATCAGCCAACCATTATTTAGAAAAATAAACAACAAACATAAAAAGCAATTCACGTTTTAGTGAAACTGCCAATCTGGCACACTGGTGGCTTCTTCAGCTGTGAAAATAGTTTTATAAAGACTTAACAATTCAGATGTTAAAGCTAAGTGAGGGAATGTCTTTCAACTGTCTTTGAATCTTAGATAATTAAGACAACCTAATTTTCCAATTTTAAAAGGTGATTTCAATGTACTAATAACATTGAACTTTGTTGTAATATATTTTCTTTTATTATGTATTAATTTATTGTCTCAGGAATGTCCTGCAGTCTAACTATGGGTATAAGTGATTACATTTCACTTATTCTTGTATTTGAACCAGTCTTGGTAAGAAGAGATTTTTAGAAAACAAAAGACAATTTCATTTTTCTCTTCAATGAAAAGCATGTGGCATTTAAATAGTGTTTTTTGAAGGTGTCAGTCAAAACCTGCCACTTTAAACCTATGGTTATAAAAATACTGTGAAGCTTGCAATCATTTATTTTCAAACACTTAGCTTTCAGATTTTATTTTGTTATTTTCTACTGCTAAATGAAATGTAGTACAAATAAAAAACAATAATTTATGACTATGTATAATAGTGTTTTAACTATTGTGAATAACCTAGATTTGATTTAATATTTTATGTATCAGTTATTATCTATGATGGTGTTATTCATATATGTGTGTATATCTAAGTATAATGTATATTTAGTATATTTTTTGTATATTGTATAGAAAATATTAAGAAAATGACAAGAGTGTAACTATTTTTCTGAAAGGGCTTATTCATTTTAACTGGCATTAGTTCATTAAAAATAAAAACTACTTCAGGAGTGTTTTTTAAAAACATATCTTATACACAGAATTCTTTTAATGTTTTTTTTATTTGTATAGTATTTCACTTTCTCCCAGTCTCCCAGTGACACATAAAAACAATTTTTAACATTCATTTTTAAAACTTTGAGGTTCAAATTCTCTCCATTCCTCCCTTCCCATCCCCACCCCATTGAGAAGGCAAGCAATTCAATATAGATTACATATGTATAGTCATGCAAAACTTTCCATAATAGTCGTGTTGTAAAAAAAAACATAGACCCCCCCCAAAAAAAACCCTCAAGAAAAATAAAGTAAAAAAAAGTATCTTTCAATCTATATTCAGACACCGTAAGTTCTTTCTCTGGGGATAGACAGCATGTTTAATCATAAGTCTTTCCAAGTTGTCTTGGATCATTTTATACTCAGAATATTATATTAGTATCGTTATATTGATTTAAATATTTAAAATAGGTAGCTATAGATCTGCAAAAACAATGACTGTTCACAAAAGAAAAGGCATGTCAAAATAAAAAGCAAAATAAGTTGACTAATAATAATAAACATTTATATAGTGCTTACTATGTGCCAGGCACTGTGCTAAGCACTTCATAATTATTATCTCATTTGATCCTGTCGAAGCTACTATTTTCCTTATTTTGCAAATGAGGAAATGGACAAACAGGTTAAATGACTTGGCCAGGGTCACACAGTTTGTAAGTGTGAACCTGGATTTGAACTTAGTTCTTCCTGAATTCAGGCAGAGCACCCTATCCACTATGCTACCTTGCTTTTCCTCTACACTAAGAGAATTCAGTAAAAAAAAATAATGCCCCTACATGGTGCATAATTTTTTTTAAGGCAATTGGGGTTAAGTGACTTGCCCAGGGTCACACAGCTAATAAGTGTCAAGTGTTTGGTCTGAGGCCAGATTTGAACTCAGGTCCTCCTGACTTCAGGGCCAGTGCTCTATCTACTGTGCCACTGGATCAAAGGGTATGCACAGTTTTATAGCCCTTTGTGCATAGTTCCAAATTGTTGTCCAGAATGGTTAGATCAGTTTACAACTCCACCAACAATGCATTAGTGTTCCAATTTTCCCACATCTTCTCCAACATTTATCATTTTCCTTTTCTGTCATATTATCCAATCTGATAGATGTGAAGTGGTACCTCAGAGTTGTTTTAATTTGCATTTCTCCAATAAATAGTGAGTTAGAGCATTTTTTTCATATGACTATAGATACCTTTAATTTCTTCATCTGAAAACTGCCTGTTTATATCCTTTGACCATTTACTGATTGGGGGCACTTCTTTAAATGAAGACAAAGATCATAGTCTCCTTCTAAATATCCTATTTTTGAGGCTAAATGTCACCAAGCATTTCAACTGACCATTGTATGACATCGTTTCCAGTACTACTTACCATTCTGGTCATTCTCCTTTGAACACACCTGAACTTTTTAACAAACCTCTTAAAATGTGGTACCCTGAATAATAATAGTAAAGCTAACATTTATGTAACATTTGAAGATTTGCAAACCACAAAAACCAACAAACCTCTTAAAATGTGATGCCCATAATAATAATAATAGTAAAGTTAACATTTATATAACACTTGAAGGTTTGCAAAGCACATATATTATCTCATTCAATACTCCTAACAACTTTGAGGTAGCTGTAAATACTCCAAGTGGTGTCCAGCCAGGAAAAAGGGATGATTCTTCAAATTCCTTGGCCTTTCCATATTCTCCTAGTTCATCTTTCCATGTTCACTTCATTTGTTTCTATATGAAGCCTTGCCATTACTTTAAAATGGTCTGCCACTTTCATGTTTTATTAGTTACTACTAATAAATTCCTTGGCCCCCATCCTACTGTTCCTGACCTACAAATTCTAATTTGTGGGCAACACCTTCTCCCCCCAATCTAGTTTTGCCTTTCTTTCCTTGGGTTTGCTGAGCATCACTGGAGAAAGTCACAAAATTGAGCTGATTTCATCCACTTCAAAATTGTTGGTATATAATCTTTGCTGGATCCTTGCTGCTATTCAACAACTCCTTTGTTCTTCTCTGCTAGAGCCCTTATCTCAGTAATCACCGTGACCATTCCAACTGTTTTACTCACTTTAGGACCTCACCTACTCCACTACCTCCTGCCTCCTTTTCAGTAGATATCTTAGTTTCCTACTTCACAGAATCTTGGGTTTAGAAGGGATGTCAGAAGCCTTCTAGTGCATCCCATACATAAACAGGAATCCCCCGTAAAGCATTCTCAACAGATGATCAGCTACTGTTTACTTGAAGATCTCAAGTAAGAGGAGAATGCACTGCCTCTGGGAGACAGCCCATTCCATTTTGGGAGGGCTCTAACTGTTAGGAAGTTTTTCCTTATATAGAGATGAAAATTGTATCTCCGTAACTTTTACACCCTTGCTCCTGGTTCTGCCTCCCGAGACTAAGCTGAAGTCAAACCTTCTGCAGGACAGTCCTCCAAATACTTTAAGACAACTAAGTAACCTCTCCTCCAGGATAAACGTTCTAAGCTCATTCAACTGATTCTGAAATTAGAAGGACTAGGTTTTCAAAGGGTCATAGACTCACAGACTTTGAGATGGAAGGCTCTCAGAGATCATATACTCCAAGCTCAACCTGCATCAAAAATTCTATGACAACATAATCAACCTCTTTGGTTCAAAGAAAGTTGATCCATTAATTTAAATAAAGAAATAATTTTAAACTATTCTTTGTAGAAGCACAATTCTATATGAGTCTGAGGTGCTGCTAGGACATCCAGATAGATATACCCTGCAGGTAGATGGATGTACAAGTCTGGACCTCAGGTTGGTGTTTTCTTTGTCTGACCTGTGGGACAGTGAAGGGAGATAACCAAAATGATTTAATATTTGTGGATTCCTGTAAATAAGCAGTCCCTTCTGCATGCTCTCCAACCAATCCATCTCCTCTTGATCACTTTGGTCTCCCTTGTCCTAAAATATTGAGAAACAACTACACATGGAAACTAGCGTACATGGCTCGCTTATGACCAGCACCAAATTGCGTGATGTGGCAGGGTTTCTTATTTGTTAAAACCTACCAGAGGGTGGAGGCGTTCATAGACTGTGCCTGGCAAGGTAAATTGTTGACTGTCCAAAGAAAAGATAAAGATATTTTGATTAGGTCAATAATGTTACAAGGTTCTAAGTTGTACTAGAGAGACAATGTGGCAAAGGGGATGGGAGTACGGTGAGGTCAGAGTTTTCTCTTAGTATTGCTTTTCTGTCACTGACTCACTGAATAGCTTTGGGCTAGTCATTTAACTTCTCTGTTACTCCACCAGCTTTGGATTTTTTGATCTGGACAAAGGAGTAGGACTATTCCAGACTACCATCAGTTATTTGCTTTGTGGCAAAGGGAGCTAACCAGTTCTCTTGTAATTTTATGTCGAGTAATAACAGCAATGGCTGCTCACCCCTGAGAACTCTCCCTACTAATTTTGTTTCATGTGGGAGTAGCCCAGAATGCCTCAAGGAGTTATAAACCCTGAATGATCTGAGTTTATTGCAATAGTATGGATGTTCTCTAGTATGTTTGGAGTCTCTTAGTCCCTCAACTATCTACAAATTAACAAATGCTCATGTGCCAAAAGTTTGCTGGTAAATCAGTTATTTGAAACTCAGGTTACATTTTTTTAATTTAAAAAAAGCAATCCTATGACAATAACTATGGGTTTTTTAAGCAAACTCATACTATATTGCAAAGTATAAACTGAAATTAAACAAGAGGGGCAGCTACCTATGGATTATGATCTATTTGATTGGATAGAATATCCACTTGGCTGAAATGACAGATCCATTGGGATGTTAGATCATTCTACCTTTGCCACGTTGTATTTTTCATGTTTTTCCTGGATGTTATCTGGGTATAAGTAATAGAATACCGCAATAA